TCTCTTTTGCATTTTTAATGTACTATTGCAATCCAACCATCAATATTTCAATTTATAATATTTAATTGTCTTAATTAAAACTCACTATGTTAACTTCAAATACTTTGTAACTGAAGTACTTCAGCTGCATGAGGTAAATGAGGAAATTTGTGTATTAAAGAAAAAAGAAAAAAAAAAAAGAGGAAGAGGAAGGAACATCTCTGTGTCCTTAATCCTAACCATGACTTTCTTAATGGCTGTTCTCTCCTGACTCTCAATCTCTCCCTGGTTCTGATCCCAATGATCCTATTTCAGGCACAAGAAAAGCATCTGCTACTTCTCCGCACAACTAATCCCAAAGGATCTTCCTTGGCTGGACTACTGTGGAGTGCTTCCAAAAAAAAAATAAAAATCAATAGTTCCTCCCACGTTTGATTAGACTACGTCTTGTATACTTCTCAGCTTTTTTGGCACAGCATTCTTGCCACAATAATTTCAGTCTTAGACTGTGATGATTTAGGGGTTAAACTTGCTGCTTTTGTTTTGCAGTTTGCACCCTCCTTCCACCTGGTCTTACAGCAAGATCAAGGCTTTTACAGCTGCTTCTCTGCACTGTAATATTTCATGTTCTCAATTCTAAGAGTCCAAGGTTTCCTTCAGCATCCCAGATGTAGCATAGAGATTTTTATCACTAGGTAATATACATGCCTTATCCTGTGACATTAATTTATACCCTAGTTCAGCCCTTCAAAATTTATTCCAGTTCTGCAAGGACAGCAATAACCATGTTACTTTCCCATTCTTCTGCAGTCTGGTACTGGTTCTCTCTCTGTCTCCTATTATTTTGCATGAAAACTAGTCACTCCTGTCCCCTCTCTTTTCCACTTTTTCTCTCAGTGTGAGAAATACATCTGTAACCCTTAACAAAAACACCCAAGTCTTTCTATATTCAGCTGGTCGCCATCTTCTGGTCAAAACTACAAACTGCAGGTTTTCTTCACATTTAACAGGCATCCTAAACCAATGAAACCTCACGCACAAGTATTTAGCCTTACTGTTGAAAGAGTTTGCCCACAGCACTTACAAAGCAGCAAAACTGCATAACATTTTCTTATTTGCTTTTCTAAATTATGTGTTACCAATACTGCAAAAGTTTCTGAAATTTTTACCTGGTTTTCTTATGACTGTTCTTTTTGCTTGTTGCTTCCTTTTCACTTTTTTCCTTTTCTACTTTGTCTTTTTTCTCTTTCTTTGATTGTGTAGGGGGCACGAATTGCTGAGGAACCTGTTGTGCAACCAGCTGAGAGACAGGTCGAGGTTTCCTGTGTGCACATATATATAGACACGCATAATGCTTAGACTTTACAACAAGTCTCAAACACTCTACACTTCAGTTATTGACATTAGCAATCACCATAAAAAGAAACAGCTCAAACTTATCACGCTGCTAACACTTCATTAAAATAGCATATCAAATTTAAACCCATTACAGCCTTTTGTTTCACTTGTATTATCAACAAATGAGCTTTTTCTTTTTTTTAAGGATTTAGAGACAAGACTTTGCCATGTGCTCTTTTCTGCCAGTTTTGTCATATCCAGACAGAGAATTACACTGAGTGAACTCCAAAAGATGAAGCTTCCAGACAGAATACTTTACCATCCAATCCCAGCCCCTTCAAATGAGGAAGGGGTCTGGTTTGAGTGTACTCCAATACTTAAGTATACAATCCACATCACAGAAAGGAAAAAGCTGACCTTTCAGGTACCAGAGCTAAAGCTACTGTTGGCCTTATAGAGTAAAACTTTAGCGTCTTCAGCTCAAAAAAATTCATTGAAAACAATGACAAATCCTGTTAAGTTTGGTATCATTTTTACCAAGTTGTTCACTGGGAAAAAAAAAAACATACTGCACTAATAATAGCAGGATACAGCTGTCAGAACATATATACTTTAAGAGTTGGCGACAGAAACTTCTGAGCACATTCCATCAGTATACACAGCGCAGTTTTTATTTCCAACTTTTGATCCAAACTAAAAACCAGGGTGAGAAGAGGAATAGCAGGCAAAAGAACTTCAACAGTTTATTACTTTTACATTTATGGAAATATTATTTTGAGAGAGCTTCATTTTTATTTTATTTTGTATTGGAATACAAGGATTCTAATGTGAAATGAAACATTCAAGGCCAGGTTGGACAGGTCTGTAAGCAATGTGACCTAGTTGAAGATGTCCCTTCTCACTGCAGGGGGGTTGGACTAGATGACATTTAAAGGTCCCTTCCAGCCCAAACTATTCTCTGATTCTATGATTTTACTCTTTCCAATGCAAGGGTATTTCTTTATTTTGAGATTGTGGAATTAAGAAATTTCAAGTCATGACATATAAAAAGGAAGGTTCTGTGATTCTATTACGACTTTGAAGATGCAAATGTCTTCTCCAAAAGAATGTTTACCCTGCCAAGCTCTTGGATTTTGCTATTGTGTGGTGTTGGGTTGTTTGGTTTTTTTTAAAATAGAAAAAGCGCAGATTATATGCACTACGATACTCCGAAAATACAAAGCAGTTATCAAAGCAACAGAAGCTATCAGTTCTTAGGCATATTTATTTATTCCAACCCACAGGATCACGCTACCGGCACTTCTCGCTTAGGTAAAGTGACAAGTAAACTAACAAAAGCAGAAATTCAAGGCAGCTCCCATTAGCAAGTTGTATTTTCAGTAATGATTGCAATAGCTCATGTTACAGAGTGAAAGCCAAGTTATAAGAATCCATAAAGCATGGAAAAGGCCGTTAACATAAACCAGCTGAAATTTCATGAGTCTTCACAGCAAGTTCTTACAAATTAAAGTAAAAATAAAGACTATTTAAAATGTCAACACAATAGAACTTTGGGGTAAAAACTAGACTACCACATACCCATTCATGAACTAAGCCCACGCTAACTCACAGAGAGACGAAGTGATCAGCAACAGATCACTTAGTGAAAACTACCCAGCTTATATTGACCGGCAAATAGGACTACAAGCTTTTCAAGAGAGCACTGCAACTAGGGCCTTGGAAAACACACAGCATAAAGTGTGTTTACACTACATTACATTAGCAGAGTACATTGGACATTTTTAAGAAAACTTGTCTCAGAACTGATTTGACCTTCTGTCATAGTAGTTCATAACAAAGCAAGAACCAACAAGGTGTAATAGATGCACAAGCTTATAATTTCAGGCATCTATGTGATATAGAAACAAAACTAATAGTCCGTCTTGAACTGAAGATTGCTCCAGGGAATAGGGATACAAGGGGTTAATAATCCAAGTGACAGCCAAGTGACAATCCCATCATTACTACATAGTGACCTGAGAGAACAATCTGAGATGTTACTTGTGAAGTAAGACAGTACTGAACTTCTCAACACAGAACTAATTATGGCCCAGGGCTGTGGACAACACTATGATCATGGAAACTTGTTAAAAAGGGGTAGGGAGGGGAAAAAATTCTTAGCCAACTATTTTAGGAGTTCTCAATTTGCAACCATCTCAGCTCCTGAGGGCAAACTAGATAATTTCTATTAGAGTACAGCTGGGAAATTAAGCTTAGTTCTAAGTCCTAGGTTTAGAACTTCTTTTTCTAGTACCATAAAACAAATGAGACTGACAAAAAAGATCCTTGCCACAAGGAACAGAAGTCAGTTAAGACAAAAATAGCTCACAGAGAAATCATGTTTGGGAAGATGCACTAAAAGTGAATCAAGAGGTTCTATGTGGTTTCGCTGTGACAAGGAATTCCACTCAGTTATTTTATTCCTCCAAATTAAACATCCATCTTTTTGTTGTCAATTATTTCTATAGCTGTCTATCAGCTATATCTATATTCCAAAATTTATTATCTGTTTTGTCCCTTCCATATTTCTTCAGTAAGGTATTCAATGTCTTTGTATCAAAAAAATTAAAAAAAAAAAAATTCACATCTCTCAACACGGAGAGTGTCTTTCAAGCATTCAATTTTTTTTTTCCCCAAGGTACCCAAAAGGAGCTATTGAACTGCAACCAAGCACTTTGCAAGCCATGCAGGCTTCAGCAGATAACTTTACCACTCATGAAGCTTTAACCTGATAGAATCATTTGTGATTTAGCGGTAGCCGAATTATGTCATTCAAGCATGAAGCAATTCACACAGAGAAGGCTTTCTCACAGAGAAGATAACTATTCCCGTAACAGGAAAATGATTTGATGATTTGCCAAAATACGACATTTTAAATTACTGTTTTTCAAAACCTGTTAGTTAAAGACTCCTTGTAATAGTCCGCTACAGATTAAGTAGATACAGACAACATTAACACTGCCTTTTATTTCATCAGTATATTTAGGGTAATTTGCTTTTTGAGCATATCCAAGAGCACCTGAGCTAACTGGTGTTTAGAAAGGAACTCTATAAACTTCTGCTTTGTGATTACAAGCATTTTTGCCTCTACCACTGGGAGTGACTTTACAACCAAACAATCCAGAACTACAGGCAGAAATGTTCATAAATACAATACATATTGCTTAGCCCCTCAAAACTTTGCATTTTTATCTAATAATTTCACTTCAGTCATTTTAAGTGGAACACTAATCACGAGAGGCAGACACTATGGCAAAAGATAAGAGCTATCAATTCTTTCCAACAGAGGCGAACTTTATGGTTTAGGGCCTAAGCACTGCAGCCGTACCAACAGATTTACTGAGCTTCCAAGAGATCACTGAACATCACAGTTCTGAGTATTACTTCTCTCCTATCACTTAGTTTTCCTTTTCAGCCAGTGTTATCTTTCTTCCAAGTTAACATCAGCCATACTTGTACCTACATTTCTACTCCAACCTCCTTCATTATGGTTTTATTAACTATCTAATTCCAGTGATGCTTTCAAGGTCCTGCATGTGAAATACACACTTCATAACAATTTTTAAAAAAAGAGGAATACTAACATTTTTGGTTTTTAAAAAGCCAACAGACAGCAATACAAATGTCGAAGGATACAGGTTTTTTTCTTTCCTACAATTCCTGTTAATGCTAAACAACAAGGACGTCACCATTTTAACTCTATTCTTCTTGTGGCAGGATGTGACTATATTTTATCTTACAGGATTTGATCTAGCTGCGGGTTTAGATGTGTATTTACAGCAGCTGCAGAGACTTGTCTAGTTAGGTTTTGTGTGCAGAAACTCATTCGACACTGATGCTCTCAAAAGAAGCAAACATTTAACACTGAGAAGGATGGACTAGTTTTTGTTGTTGGCATTCTTAAAAAAAAAAAAACAACAGCTTTATGGTATAGCAATTTACCTGCCTAGACATGAAAAATACTCATTCAAGAATACACACAGTGCACTAGACCAAATGGTACCTGGAACTTCTGTCCTAAGTGATTTCCCTCTCCCAGAGCTCAACACAATACCTTCCTGCTCGTAATTCATTTTGGACACCTCGCAGCAGTACAGGCTTCCTTAATTTCCCTCACCTGGTATTCACCAATAAACTACATACAAAGAATGTTGACCAAATCGATATGGTGAATAACTTGGTCTCACTACAACAAAGCAGGTCCGTTTTGAAAACAGAAATAAACAAAAAAAATCCATGTACAATATTAACAACCAACACATGCAGCAAAAGTACAGTGAACTCTCAGTCACCCAAGTCGCACATCAAACATGAAGACAACCAAACTGGATTCATTCTGAGGCATCTTGGGATCTGGCTGAATTTATTTAACTTATATCGAGCACAACTACATTTGCACAGTGCTGCTTCTACAGCCATCACAAGTCCATAGAGCAGTCTAATGTCTCCTGCGCTACTCACAGTATAAGCTCAAATTCTGACAGACCTGAGCTACTTATCTGTCAAACGAGCTCTAGGGTCCATTTGCTACAGTCTGGAAACAAAGAGCATGATGTGGGCAACTGTGACAGTTTTCCCATGAACCAACCCCAAATCCACCTACATCTCAAGTGAGTTCTGCGTCGGCACAATGCACCCCTGTGTGCAGAGTTCAGAGAAGATTCATCCATTTGGTGCTACACATCCTGAACACGCAGAGCCAACCAAGTAAGACTGCCAAGCAGCACACAGTGCAGCCAAGCAAATAAGACTGCTGAGAAGCACAGCGCAGAGACATCAACAGTCCAACACCTTAGCTTTGACTCATTGTGAGTCATGCTGGACTCGGACTTGTCCACACAGAACCAGGACCCCTATCCTCCCAGTATCCACAGATCTCAGAACATAACATATGCTTTTCTATACAGAAAGCTAGATGCTTTAATTGAATCTCAGTGCTGAATACATACACCTTTTCAACCTTTTCTGGGAAAAGCGTATCAT